AATTGTGAAATAAACAATGAAATGAAATGAGAAATCATCAATGGTAAGGTGTGGCTTATAGGGAGCAGTTTGGACATCTGGTGTTTGCTGTAAATGAAAACACACTCCACAAACAGTCTAGCAAACTGTACCAGTTGTACATTTTTATACAAATCTAGACATACTGTACATAGTGTGGTATCTTTTAACTTTAGTCAGAGCTGTGCTAGATTTTTCTCATCACCTAATCTCCTTAATGTTTTTGTAAAATAGGCTAAAAGTGTCTCACCGTACTGGAGGCACAATCTGACTCATCTGACTGTGGCAATCTGACAAAACCATAAAGTTTCCATTTGTCTGTACTTTCAATTAGAGTCACTTCCTTTTCTTGTAACTTTTTAATTATTTCTGGTCCTGAGTAATTTGAGTAAGTAGTTCAGTACTTCTTTAAAGACTTGTTTTCATCTCAATCAAAAATTAGACATATACATGAACTCCCCAAGGATTCCAGCTCTCATCCATCATCGCAAGGTCCAGACAATGGCACCATGAGTCACCACTGAGTGGGCTGGTCTTCAGATGGAAGGCTGTAGACTTACTGAAGGTTTCCCACCTGATACCAGCCATTATCATCCATGCATGTGTAATCATGTCCTAACCAGTGATTCATATTGGTTTAGTAAGTCACATCACGACTGGACTCCTGACACCATTATAGAGCTACATACAGCTGAAATGGGTTGGCAGATAGCCAGCACGCACACAAAGTCTAAATGATGATAGAATAATACAGAGCAAGGTGATTGCACTTGAGAATCTCATTTCAGAGGTGTATTTTTAGAGACACATTTCCTTGGTAATGGTGTGAATGAGTACATATTCCTAAAGGCGAACTTACTAGACTTTGAAAGAATGAGTAAAGTCTGACTCATTCTGAACATGAACAAGACAGAACTCAGATATTCATGTAGAAATGTATTCATGTAATCAACCTTAAATCGATTGTTGCTCTGTGCCCAGACTCCATTCCGATGTTCATACGAGTCAGGTGGCTCTGCTAAAGCTTTGAAACTATTTAAACGGACTGTTAAACTTGCAAACCAAATGCATTGCCCGTACATGCTTTCACCATAAATCTGGATCTGTGTTTGGGGCAAAGGAGAAATAGCCCACCTTCCAGCCCCCCCCAGCTATTTACGAGGATGCAAAGGTATTCCCAGGGCAGATGCTGCATAATCCCTACAGCCCCCCAACCCACTGTGGTCCCTTGAGCTCAGTCGGTTGGTCTCCTCAAAGCTTCTGACAATATTTGGAAGTTGGAACATAGATTAGTTGGTTCTTTGAGAGTCTCCTGTTCACCAGGAAAGTCTGCTTAGTAAGATGTTTTAATTTCCACTGCCACCTGCTTACATCTGTTTTTTGGCACCTACTCTTGTATTTGGCACGTTTGTATCATGCATCAGTGGTACTACCAATGAACCCATGAGAAGGGGCCAAACTGGAAGCTTCATATTTCGCTTTGCATTATCTTCATATTTTTGCTTTGCTGTCAAAGCACTTTGTAAACTCATATCAACAATGTGAGTATTTGTACCATTAACCTCTTGTGACCCCATTGTGACTTCCATATGCTTTCCTCATAAAACAAATGTACAGTGTAATGAGACTGAGATGAACCTCTTGCTTTACTAAGCAATTTTTCTGAAAAGGTTGTTTCTTGTCTCTGAGCCTGGCTGCATTAGTGAAGCAGACTACTGCTCATAACATAACCCAGCAATACAGACACAGCCACACAATCAGAAAAAATGCATATTTGCAAAATATGACAACATATTGTGTCTGCCTTCCTTTTCATTTATTCATTCATACATTTCTACATATCTTAATATCTCTCTGCCTCTTTTATTTCCACTTTCTTAGGCTCTTGCCATGGGGATGATGACAGAGTACTATCACTATATCTTCACCACACTGGTGAGTAGAAAAGGAGCCTGTGCCGCACACTCAGTTTGTCATCAGGTCTAACACAGACTTCCATTTCCCCATATCTCCCAAGATTTGTTGCATTCCCCCAAATGAGATAACACTGCTCTTCAATCTTCATTTTTGGAGTTGTTGTTTCTTTTATATTTATTTCTCTGGATCATTTCTTATTTTCCCTTTAATATTATCTCCAGAGCCAAAGAAATGAAAGCACACTACTTTATGACATCATGACAACTTTTCTTCTGCTTCATATGTTTTTATTTTGCTTCTTCAGCATCCAGTACCTTTGTCTTGTCGTCCTCATCCTCCAAATCTTCTTCTTTCGTAGTGTCCACATACTGTACATGTTTTAAAAGAGATGGCTATCTCACATTGAGGCAAACTCTCTGCTAATCTGAACAACAATGGTACTGCAACTTAAATTACACTGGATCCCAAATTTTTATTTTTATTTTTTTTAATAAGTGCATTTTTTAAGGCCTCTAATGCGACATGCTTTACAATTTGAGTCTTATTCTCACTTCTCTTCTCCCAAGAGATGGGTCAATCACAGGACTGACATTGGAGAAAGACAACCATTAATTCAATCAAATCTATGGAAAATTTAGAAAACAATTTGAATTAATATCAATTGCTATTCAACAGGTCTATGGGCCAAGCATGAGCATGCAGAGGCCCATAAGGGAATTCCTCTGAGCATGTGTAGTGAAACCAACTTATAAAGCTTTTTTTTTTTTTAAATGTGTTAAACGCTTGACAGATATTTGTAGACACTAAATCTTTGAATCATGTTTCCTCAGTCTCTTTTAATGTGACATGTTTCCATTATGAATACTAGTGCAAACCTAACTTCCAGCTAATCATCATGCACTGCAGATAATGGGCAATACAAGTTTAAGTGGATTGTTTCTTCAGTCATACTTGAATTATGTAGAAAATCTCTCCCAGAGAAAAGTGAAGTGACTTGTTTCTGTAGAACATTTTTCACACCAGTAACAGTGAACGCAGAGATGGATGTAAAAAAGGCTTGAAGATCTAGTACTGACCAGCTTCCCATGTCTGTTATGTGACCATTACTTTACAGTAACTGTACAGAGCCTCCCTCTTTATGTGCTGTCTCGTTATTATTAGGAGTCTTGCTAATATCAATTAGCAACGGTAGCAGTTGACTTAATAACAGTTATAGTATTGTTTCTTTGTCAAAATGGCGACAGCTAGTTTTAAATGGGTAAATTAATTGTAATCAAAAGACAGATGGCTGACTCAACAACATGTAAGTAAAATAAGCAGTATTTATTTTGTGATAAGTCGTGTCACATTTTGTCACATGTCTGAGACAGTATTCAGAGTCTCCATCTCTACTGAATGATTATTTATTTGGCTGTATAAGTGTTCTTGCTTGCTGGTTACAAAGTCCCCTTTACCGTCCACATTGTAAAGTGCAGTACAAATTTGCATCCAAACACATCCACTATATATATATATTTATACACATGTACTCTTTGAAGCACCATCCCACTCATTCAAAAACTGTCTTTGTTCTGTCTCCCTCTGTCCTTTACATTTTAAATGTCAAGTTCCTTCTGAGAATGTAAATCTTCAGGTTTTCAAAAATATGCTTTTCATTACACGGGTCAAAGGGGGATAATTAGTATTTTTGAAACAAGACATCTTAATGCTCCTCGGTGCAGCCATTCAACCTGGCACAATTTAAATGAGATAATTAAAAACCCCTTTGGTGGTTTGAAGAAGATGCACAGTAAAATACAACCATGAATAAGGCTGCGGAGGCGGAACAGACCGTGGGGTGTCTTGTCATTCCCTACTGTTGTTTGGCACACAGAGTCCAGTGCTGACAGCCTAATTCTCCCAGCAGAGTGAACATCCCAGCCATACTGAGGTCTACATATGTCAGCCCTTTTGCTGCCAGATTTGTCTTTACTGTTCACTTAGCCTACCTTGTGTTACTGCTTTATTTTTCTGATGCAGTATAGAAGGTGTGATCAGTAACCTAGTGTTTGATGGTGATCATCACACTGTCAACGTTTATGAATTTGAAAAATCATAAATACATAGATGCTGTAATGTCAGTAAAATGAACCTTAGTTGATCTTGCTCTTCTCTCTCACAAGAAAAACAAAACAGACTCATCATTGAATATGTTTGCATGACTTGTCAGATTTTTTTTCAATCAGTCAATCAATTAATTTGTATTTGTATAGCCCATATTGAGAACTCAGAGTTTGTCTCATGGGCTTTTTGAATCTTTCTCTTTTTATTTTTATTTTTTTAAGATATTGTGGAAAACAATGTATGTTTCTTCTCTCTAGGATCTGTTTGCGCTGGATGTGGAGCCTTACCGATACAGTGGTGTGAACATGACGGGCTTCAGGATCCTCAACACTGAGAATAGCCAAGTGGCCTCAATCATCGAGAAATGGTCCATGGAGCGACTGCAGGCACCCCCGAAACCTGACTCTGGTCTACTGGACGGCTTCATGACCGTGAGTCTCATTGTTTCCATGCTCTGTGTTAATCTTCTCAGCAAACTCACACTGACCGATAACATGTTCATCAAGTTCATGTTCTTTCCAGTTACTGGAAGCAACTCCTTGTGTACTCGAGTGTGCCATATAAGTCCATATTTCAGAAAGTCTTTGGTTGCTATGAGAATGATTTGTGAAGAACCATTTCCATTTGGACAGTGAATGCTACAGTTTCCCCTTTGCTTTTCAGAAAATACAGACAAATGAATAGGACAGTTTGATGTTGTGCAATGATTACAGTAAAGTACAGCCACATCGTATCTGTTAGCAGTCATAAAACACAAGAGGGTTCTGTAGAACACGCAGTAGTGGTGTGAGCTGGCTGCAATGTCTGCCACAGCAGCGACATTTGGATTATTTGAGGGTAAACATGGAATGGAAGGTAATGGAGGTGGAGCATTAAAAATGGCGGGGCTATGTGTTCTCTGCTCAGTGTATTTTTATGGGTTTGTCAAAAAAGTCATTATTCTTTTCTGTGAGGTGTGTGTAAAACTCTTTAGAGCTCGGTTTGGGTCAGACATTGCTGATGAAAGTCTGTAAAACACATTTAAACACGTATTTTTTCCCAAAATTGACCAATGGGACAGTTCACCAAAAACTACAATCTTGAAGTGATTGTCCTCCATTGTTTCCCTGCTGGGTGTTTTTTGCAGATGTGGTCACTTAAGATATCAGGTGTTGTTCTTCACACGATAGACTTGTTCAGGTGAATATGCAGTGACTTCTCTTACTGTAACTTCCCAGTCATCTGCAGGAGTCAAATAGAAAACCTTGGTGCCCCGAGCTGTGAGCCCCTGGGTGTGATAAGAAGAGTCTCTTTGGCTGTGATCTGAAACGTCTGTGATCAGAGCACACTGCCTGTAATAACTGTTCCTCCATGCGGCTTTCATACCAATCGTTTATCTGGGAACCCTGCCAAAAACATCAACCCACCAGAGACAGGGAATAAGAAGGAAAAGAAAAGGAGGGGAGAGAAATGAGATGAGGGGGATGAATGAAAAGAAGAAGAAGAAGAAAGACAGAGTGGGTGAAGGGAAGGCAGAAGTGAAATCTGCACTTGTGTTTTATTCCGAGGAAATGTTGAGGTGTTAAATGTTGCAGCCGCTTAGTCTGACTCCAGTTGTGTAGCTCTGGCAAAATGTTGGCTGCTGATTGAAAACAGTGGCTTACCTCTGGGGAATAACAGAATCCTTTTCTTTTTCTAAAACGGCGAGATATTGCTGAGTCATGTTTCTGGATTGATATCGGAGAGTGGGTGTTACTCTGTCTAAGCCCCTTTTGTTGGGTTTGCGGCTGGAATCAATACCGTTTCTCACTTGAGACTGAAATGGTCTGTGTGTAATGACTGGACCTTTTCAAAACACAAAAAGCTCAGAGCGCCTTTATGGCGACTCAAGCTGCGACATGGAGTCCTGGAGTTGATGTCTCAAGTCTGCACAAAGAGGAAGAAACGAGGCAAACGAAAATAGTCTTTGTGCTCATATTTGTCTCTGCGACTCCACGCTGTGCTGGAGAGACTCATCAGGCGAGGTGGTTTATTTTTGGATCAGTGACAAGAAAAGATTTATGTGCGAGGAGTGTGCTGTGACCCTGCTCATCAGTGAATTAATGGCATATGAGTTTGAAGGTGGGGACTGATTAATTAGACAAATGGCAATCAGTCAGCAGCTAATGCATATTGACATGGTGAAAGGTTCCATAAACCTTTGATTAACGGCTTCATTTGTGTGCTGTATTTACGGTTGTGTGTGCTTAAGTGGTGAACTGCTGATGTGCTGTAACTTATGGACCTGCAGATCATGACAGATTGCCCTGAGTGAGCAGTACACAGACTTCACCTACTCATACCACTTCTGCTCTCAGCACCGTTGTTGAATGCCTTACATGTAATGGTTGGATCTGCAGTTTGCATATTGAAAGCAGAAAATGTAATCAGACATTTATTTTGGTCTGCAATATATAACAGTAACATTAATGTAAGAATCTCAGAAAATACAATTACTCAAATGTCATATTTGACAGTACATGATATAGATTTCTGCTCTCTGAAAAGTTGTGTGCTGAAGTTACATTGAATTATGCTTACCCATTTTAATACATCCTTTTGTTTTCATTGCCTTCAGTTGTTTTTATTTTGCTCTGTTCATGAGACTGATTACATTCATGTGTTAGTGGTTACACCACAGTCAATGTCCACTTCAGTCCAGCCTTTAAAAGTCTTCCCCTGTGACACTGCAAATTGTTTCCCTTTGAATCTGCTGTCATCATCTCCCAACCAAAAGGTCCTAACAGCGCAATTATAATAACATGTTGAGCTGAAGTATCTGCAGAGTTTACAATCACAGGAAAAGCTAAGTTAAAAGTTGCCACTTCTTCTCCATGTATATTCTTCCAAAAAGTATTTTTCTACAATAACTACCCAATGCATTCAACCATTGATGCCAGCAGAATATAAAAGTAAAAACTCTGCAATCATTTGATTTGTTTGTGGTGCGTTCTTCTATCAATTTAAAGTTGTTGACAATTTACAAACCACTCCGACACTGCTGACTCTGATAGAGTTGTGTTACCCTGTTGCCTTGATTATATACAACACTACTCTGCTGTTGTATAAATTGCTCCACAGTGGCTTTGTTGTTAATTACGATTAGTGATCCAGCAAAGTATTTACTACGGACGGTGTCTGAAATCACTTCCTCCTGCAGTAATTTACTAATCCCTATATCAGTGGTTCTGGCATATCCCCTGTTCAGAGACTGAAAACACTTCTGTCATCAACATTGACAGAGAATGCAAGTGGAATTTTATTCTAATAAAGATCTCAATCAAAGCAGGACACTTTTTTATTTCCCTTCAAAAATAATTTCATCATTCTGTGTCTTTTCACCGAAATGTGGTTCCACCTATGAATCGTCACATCTCTGCGTCATTAACAGGTGATGTCGTTTCCACATCCATGATGCATTGCATTTTGAAATGATTCACTATAATTACCCTGCCCACCTGAGTGTGCATGTGCAGAATATAACTGAAAAATTGTGTGGGTGGATTTTTTCACCAAACTTATTGGGAACATTTTCTCAGAGTAACTTTTAAAGCTGATCAGTAAAAGATCAAATGTCAAGATTGACAAAGACACTGTATACTCCGCTTGTATTGACCAGAAAATGACTCCCCATTAAACTGCGTCATATGATAAGAATGAATCTGCATTTTAAAAATGCATTTTTCAACTATATCACAATGACATTGCATTATTTTGAGTTTGCATCAATGCTTTCCATTCAATGTTTCATGGAGGATCAACCCCTTGAGAAACATCATCTAATTTTTAAGGGAATCCTCAGACAGTTTTTTTAGTGAACAAACATTTAACTGAAATTAATACATCAATAGTAAAAAAAATGATAAATACATCAACTGAAAACATGATCCATACAAAATATCCGTCGAGGATTTTGGAAACCAAAAATTAATCAAAACCACTTAACGAGAAATAATCAATGTTATGTTCAAACAAGCTAGAATTTTTTTCAGCTAAATTAGCAGTTTTATTATTGTCCTTGGAAATAATTAATTGATTAAATCAATTGAGACTTGTGGTCCAATTAGTCCTTTTTCACATCCCACAGTGCTGAGGATGTATGATGTTTGATGTTTTAATCAGCAGTCTTTTCCATCAAAGTGTTCCACATATCACTAACTTATTTTACTACTTCACACCCCCCTCACTCATCTGCCTGACTATTTTGTTTTTCCCACCCTGCACACCACCCAGCTGCATCCCTTCTCACTGAGGCTGTAAACTCAGCAACCTGTGTCACTCCACCAAATCATGGAGACAATTAAATGAGCCCATGCAGTCTGGCCCAGAGATGTTTCCTTTTTTGTTCCCTCTTTGTAGCCCATGCCTGTGTGTGACAGATCGGGTAAGCCAATTCTGCACCTCATCCTTTTATGCTGCCGTCGATGACTCAGGTGACGGAGAATCCCTGCCCTGAGTTGTGGCTTAACATGCGCGACGAGGGTGACCTTACAAGCTCCACGCTCTCATTACCATAATGTCTGTCCTTGTTAATTGCTTCAGCTGCTGTCTGATTCATTGTGTGCGCTGCAAAATTGAAACAAGTTCAAAAAAACACTCAGGCATGACTGTAATTTCTGCATTTATCTCCTTGTCATAAGTTGGAAGGCGGAGATGTTAACTTTCAGCCCGGTCCACGCAGACGTTCTGACCTTTCAGTCATCAAGGTCGTCTCTTTGTTTGTTGCAGCCACAAAACACAGTTGGTATTCAGAGTCACAGCACTGCCGCTGAATCATTTCTATTTCCAAATTACCATAAATGTGCTTTACCTGTGGGTACATTTTAAATGGGGCAGTGATGGAAAGCTATTTCCTTTTTGACAGATACCATTTTAAAGTCAGATCCAAACAGAGTTATAAAAACGTCAGTCAGATATCAGGCATATTCCAGGATTCATATTATCTAAGAATCACTCACATGGGCAACAGGAAAGGATACAAGTGGGTTGTATGAGAAATAGCACTTTGCTTTTATAATGTGGCTGCCAGTAAACCTACTAAGTATGGTATATTTTTTTAATTTAAATCAAGCATCGGATGCCATTTGTGACATAACAATGTGCAACCCACAAAATATGAATGAATCCTCCCCATGTTGATGTATGTATGTTATGTCCACATTTTGGTCTAGGAGTAGGGGGAGTAACACAGTACCAGATTAAAAGATGTCAGGAGTCAAGTAGTTCATTTAAGGTTGTTTATTGCCAGCAACAGAAGCAAAACGGCTTCACAGAGACTCTAACCACAATAACAAACAAACTCATCCATCACTAGAACCAAACATACTTGTGTCTAACAAAAGGAGAGGTACAAAAACTGAACCTCCCTGGCAGCACTTAAACAGGAGAAAACTGTGTCGAAACAAAATGGCTA